CTCGCCGGCGAGCGGGGCTGGGCCCGGGGGGCCGGGGGTCTTGGGGAGGGTTGTGGGGAGAGGGGATCCGTGGGGGAACCAGGAGGGGAACCCATAGGGATGCACGCCGATTGGGATGGCTACGGAGATGGGTACCCACTGAGATACCCATTGGGGTGCCCGTGTGGGAGGGTGCCTGTGGGGTGCTCGTGTGGGCACCCCTTGTGGCACCTGTAGGGCTGGGTGCCCCTAGGGGTACCCATATGTGTGCATGCTGGTTGGGGTGGCTATGGGGATGGGTACCAATGGGGGTGTCCCAGAGGAGTTCTTATGCGTCTGGGCACCTGTTGTGGTGCCAGTAGGGCTGGGTGCCCATAGGGGTACCCATGTTGGTGCATACCAGTTGGGATGGCTATGGGAAGGGGAATCCTCTGAAGTATCCATGTAAGTGCCCCATAGGGGTACTCATGGGTGTTGGCACTTGTTGTGGTGCCCATAGGGTTGAGTGCATGCTGATGGGGATGGGTATCCACTGAGGAACTCAAGGGGGTGCCCATGGAAGTGGGTGCCCATAAGATAACTGGGTGGGTGAGCGCCAATGGGGCATCTGTATAGGTACATTTGTGGGTGGGTGCCAATGTGGGTGGTGCAAAAGGGTGCCTGTACATGTGGGTGTTATATTGAGGGGGGGCTGACTGCAGATGTGGGTACTGCCATGGATGGAGGGGCTGCATGGGAAGGCACACATGCAGGTGGATGCCCATGGGGTGCCTGTGAGTGTGGCCGCTGCTGTGGTGCCCAGTGGCTGTGCCCTGAAGGGGCAGGTTGGGGGGATGCCCACATAGAGAGGTGCCTGTGTGGGCCATACGCTCACCTACGTGTTCATACTTTGCCCCCGGTGGGGTCACAGGTGTCATGGGTGCCCCCCTCCCCACCACCATTCTCCCTGCCCCAGGCCCAGAACGCACGGCTGAACACACCTCCTTTTGGCCCTAGAGCTTCTGCCCTACTCGTCACCTCCCCATTCTGCTTGCTGCTGCCCCTTGTAATCCCTCTTCACTTTATTTTTCTTCCCGAAAAGTTTTCTACAAGGGAAACCCCCAGGGAGCCTGCAGAGCTGCACAGATAGACGGGCCCAACCGAAGTGGGTGCGCGGCCACCTGAGCTGTGGTGCTGCCGGCCGAGGCCCCACCGCGCGTCCCCCCAGGGCCGGGCCACCGCAGGGCTTGTGGTCAGCAGAGCTCAGCCAGGAACACCCGGTCATTGATACTTTTCATTTGCATTTAGATAATGGTTACATAGAAGGGAAGGAGCTTGACAATTTTTTTCATCATCTCCTGGAGAAATTGGGACCAGAAGTAAGTACTGGGCTGGAGTTGTACATCAACGGCCAATAAAAAGGTCATTATGTTTAGATATTATTGGTATTTATTGCTCTCTGATTGCTGACTTCCTTAGCAATACCCGAGGCCAAGAACTTTCCTCTTAGCAACAAGGTGGCTTTTAAGGTAAATAAAAAATGTGATAACATTAGAAGTCTCATCATTTCTTTTCAGTCCGCTATACGTTATCGCTGTGAGACTGTAGCTGATATAAGCTAAAGATGCTGGCTGGAAGCCCGTAGGGAAATTATTTAGTGCAAGTGAATATAACCAAAAAGCAAAGCCCTGACACGCAGTCTGGCAGAACAGGGCAGCACATGACTCTTAGGTTTTGTTCAAGCAAGTGCTGATTAGTTTTGCCACTGTGATAACTTTATTCCTGGGGTCAGTTTTTGAGAAATATGAATTAATTAACATTAAATAGTGCTCATGAAACAACAGAAAGAAAAAAATTCTATTAAGCAAAAAGTAATTAACAAAAAGGGCAAAAGTAATAAAAATCTCAACTTCATAAATATCAAGGGTAAAATAAGAATTGTACTTACAAACCAATTAGGATCCTTTGGATCCTTGAGGCTGTACTAGGAAAGATGCTGTGAGTCATTTGTCAAGCAAGTTTTTGTTTAATATACGAGTAATTTTTGATTGAAATCTTTGCAGTTTCTGCAGAAATGTCTTTCTGGAACATGGCTGGATGGACAAACAGATAAGCAGATTACAAATTTTAAAAAGAGCCACCAGTTTTCTGGTCTTGAAACACCCGTGCAAAGTACCCTCAAGTGAACTGACTGACTGCAAGTGCAAAATCCTTCAGGAGAGGCCATTTCACAGTGTGTGCAACCAGAGCTCAGCACCGTGGCAGCTTGTTGAGGTCAAGGGCCTCCGAGCACAGCTCTCTAGAGTTACCGTAATTAGTGATAACGTCAAAGTTTAGTTTGTCAAATAATGCACAGCTCTGGAGCAGCATACATCCTTGGGTCAGCTCCCAGGCGGAGCCTTCGGCAGCCCCTTTGCTGCCCGCACCTTGCAGTTCCCTCAGAGGAGCATTTTGGAAGCAGCGCACGACACCATCTGAGCTGCAAAATGGTATTTTACAGCAATATTTGCAGTCTTACTGAGGTCAGCATGAACTTTATTATGCAGTGTTGGGCACGTGCAGAATTAGGGTGCTCTGGCACTGAACCACTTCGAGAGGTCAACAGCAAACAGCTTGCCTGCCAAACAGTGCCACTCAAACTCTGCAGTTCAAAGCAGCGCACTCAGCTAGCTTTCGTCTCACTCGTTTCCACTATCTAGTCTTCACCAGTAAGGGCAGAGTAACACACACGAAACTACGAAAGAGCCAACATTTTCACGCTCTTAGAGAGCAGACCTAGACTAATCCTGAAGGACGTGTTTGCTGATTTCTCCAGGTGCTCAGGCCCGCTCTTGAGCAACAGGGCCCTGCTTTGCCTTGCTCCCCTTTCCCATGCAGGTGCTCGCAGTCCTCACTATTGTTTGGGGATGAAATGGCTCACCTATAGTGCTAGATAATACCAAGGTCTCTGCTACCTTCCTACAACAAGCATGAGCTAGAAACAGACATTTTTCTCCCTGTCAGGTGCTTTATTTTATACAGACTTGTTGTTGTTCTGGTTGTGTGAGGGATAAACCGCACTGTTTTTCACTACCCACTGGAAAGGTAATGGCACTAGTGATCTGAGCAGAGAGCTGGGAATGAGCAGCTCTGTGTTTTAATGGTAGCTTTGATCCTTTCTTTGTGCTCTTAAACTCTGTTTCCATGCACAGTGAAAGGGAAAGACAGTAATATACATTGACATAACTTCCAAATGTGTCGCAAGGATTAATTAGTAACTATGTCTAAAGTACTATGCAAGTGATAAGTAATGTTATCAGCTCTGAAAGCTGTCTCTGCTTGAATAGCAAGCAGTTTCATAATTATATTTTTGCAGCCTGCGCTCTCTAAGCTGTTATTTTCCCTTAATGACCACTGTAGTCTTCAGCTCTGTTTTTCTTCCCAGCTCCTCTGCTGCACCCTCAGCTGACACTAAATGCCAGGGGATCCGAGCAGCTGGGAAAACAATGCAAAACAGCGCTCTCCAGGGATCTGGGAATGAGATTTCTTGGTGATAGGTCTGGGCAAGGAAGGAAACTTGGAATATCATTCACCCAGGGTGGTTAATTCAGCCTCTTTTACTGGGGAATGTGGGAGTGAAACTGAATCAGAGGCAAACCTAGATCATGCCTTGTAAGATGAGCTGAATGTCAGCTGGTGCAACCTCCCTCTTCCCCCCTTAAAATCGTGGGCGGTTTTGAGAAAAGGCCTCCAGCTTCCAGATGTGCATTGCCTCTTCGCAAGGCTTCAGCGAAATATGGTGTATCTATGACACTGAGGGAGTAGAAGTTCATATAAACTTTCCATCGGCTGGAAGAGCTAATGTGAAGTGTTTGGTTTGGGGTTATGAGGCAGAATCGGGGATAGTTCAGCCCAGCACGAGCACCACTCTGTGAGCTGCTGCCCCTCATTGCTCATGGCCCTCATCACTGGCTTCTCTCCTACCACATTAGCTGCCAGCTTGTGGCCAGCGACCACAAGGGTACAGCAGTGCTGTCTGTGCTCTGTTCTCCCACTTCTTCACAACCCTTTTCTTCTTACACTGCAGACATCTATCATTTCCATCATTTATTTCCAAAAGCCTGTTATATCAGGGCAAAAAAGACACTTTCAACACTAACGAAGTAATTTTATGGGAACAGCAAAGGTAACTAACTGTTACATTTCTCTCTTATATCACTGTATATGCTTATTTCTGTACAGGGATCATATAGCAACTCCTTGCTCTTTGCTTTAGCTTCAAAGAAGGTTTACATAATTTTTTGTAATAATTAGACAAGAAAAGGTTTATATATAAATGGCTGTGTATTTTGGATTCATGTTTTCCTGAAACATTCTGTGAAATCAAAGATATCTGGAGAGATACAAGAATGCGCATTAGTATTATGTTTGCAGGGTTCTTTGCAGAAAGGGATTTCATTTAAGTTCAGAGATTTAGGAACAGAAGACCTTTCAGATAAAAGCTTTTTGCTCTTACCTACATGCAAGAAGCCCTGTGTGGTTATATTTGAAAATGTACTGAGGTAAGACAGGTGTTAGCCTTGTTATAATTCCCCTGACCCCCAAACCACCCCAATAATTATGCCTGGAAAGGACTCATGTCCTTCAGGGCTCACTCAGAGCAGCCATAAAGGTTGCTTTGCCCTCATTTTTCCCTTTCAGAAAAGATGAGCAGCCTCCAGCTACACTTGCTGTCCCCAGAAATTTCATTCTTGCCTTGCACAATCCTGTGTCCATCTAAATCAGATATTTAACTTAGTGGTCAGGCAGCAATGTCAGCAATGCTCTAGTTCAAGGTCCAAAACACCAAGCAGGCACAAAGCCATCCATTGTGGTTGTCTACCACAACCCTCCTCTTGCTACCCCAAGAGACCTGGGGTCACACCAGGCCTCTGGTGATCAGCAGGTCCCCAGGACAAGACAGTGGGAAGACCCTTAGCAGAAAGCGTTCAGCTTGCATCCTCCTCCCAGCCAAATCAGATATCCAAACCCTGAGGTGATTCTGATTATTGCCTAAATATGTCTATATTTCTCAGACCTGGCTTTGCCATCCTTCGTAATTTTGACCTATTCCTTTTCCTGTTCCTGCATGTTAACTCTGCAGGACTCTGAATACATGGGGGCATCTCAGCACACCTGTGGAGAAAATAAATAAATAAATAAATAAAATGATGTTTTCTATACCAATAGGCAGGCCAAAAAACTTTTAGCCTAGAGAAAAGGACAGGATGAGGAATCTGTCCAAAGCCTAAGCACAAAGCCATAATAGCACATGGAAGCCTGTAATAAGCTCTGTTTGATGCTAATGCCTTCTATGTGCAAAAACATTTCACACGTATGTGCTGAAAAGAGCTAAAAGAGAAGGAAAACAAGGGATGACTGTCTAAGTGCTTATCTTTTATAGCATGCCAGGTCTATAGTAAATCTTTGCTGAAACTCAGGGCCAAATTCTTAAATGATAGCACTGCAGTTAAATAATCAACATTGGCCCAGGGAGGAAGTTGGCTCAGTAGCTGCAGGGTGAAATCACATGTTACGGTAAGCAGAGCAGTACGCTGTACAACTCCATGGGTGAAGTGAAATCCTTAGTGCAATTTCCTTTTTAGTGCTACAGGTTTTGAAAGAAGGGAGAAAAAAGGGTTCTTTTTCAGGTCAAAGAGCAAGTTACTGAGCTCTCATCTGCTCTTTGCTATCCTCCTTGCTGGACTATGTGGCTTTTGGCACAGTAGTAATTGTCAGGTTGGCTTTCCAACTAGCATTTTTGGCAGACACCATTTATTTTCCCTGATCCCGTAGGAACTTGATATCTCTGAGACCCTTTGCCCTTCTATCAAATTTGGCTGAAATGTCACTAGTAGAAACATGTGTTTGAAACAGCTTTTTCAGATAAGCCTCTTTTTTTCAGGAAACAGGCTATAACATCACTTACATTTAGTTTCTTCTTGTTCTTTAGACATTCTTAATATAAATGCAGGTAATCGATTCCAGAATTCAAATCAAGAAGGAAAAAAAAAGTCTTTCCTTATGGAATCTTTATGACAAGACTGTTTCAGTCAGCAAAAAATAATTAGGATTTCCCCTTTCATGAAGTAGTAAGAATCCTGCATTTCTTCACAGATTTGGGTTCTTTTTTTATCAAGACAAATCATGGTTGTGTTATCATGAAAGCAAATTTTTGTTGGGCATGGCATGGATCCCTTAAGGAGGAAAAATTTAATGAGAAATCACAGGGAAAAAGGGCAGAAATCCAGAATGAATGGGTTAACAAAGAAGACAGATTACAGCCATTTTTCAAAGAGTCATAAACAACCATGACAAAGAAATTAAATGCCATGCAGATTAAAGAATGTGAACATGCTCTTTGCATTCTCACAAACAGTATTAAAATCCAGATTATCTTTGTGATGCTAAATACGTCTAAAAGATTTTCACAATAGGAAAGACAAGGGCTGGACACAGAGGAGAAAGCAGAAAATTCATTTGTTATGGCAACTTGGTGTATAAAAGTTTTTCTCTGCAAAACTCTAAGGAAGAACTGTATAGCAAGTAAATTTCCCCTTAACCTTGTGAGATACATGAGCAAAGTCAAAGCAATAATTTATATGCTTTTATGTGGAAAAAAATGACTTGTTCTCCTTCTTATTGTGCATAGCAAGGATTTATTCCTTGGTTGGACAAGAGAGAATGGGTAACAGCTCTTAGAAACCATGCAGCACCCAGTGTATGAGGACCAAGCATCTAAGTTCTATAGTTCATATGAAGAAACCTACAAAAGTGCTGCTCTCCCAACAGCCACACTCTTCCTCAGCCCAGCTCTTAGTAAACTGGAGGCAGGTTTTAGTTCAGGTATGTTTTCCTGCCCGTTGTGGGAAAATCCTCTTCATTACATCATGCCAATTGATGCTGAATGCGAGCATCTAGGCAGGTGTCTCTGCCTTAAGGAGGCAGTAATTAAGCAGAAAAATGTGGTCCTCTGTTAGTTAAGGCTACTACCACTTAATAAAATTCTCCACCTGAACCTCAGAGACGTGTGTGCAGCAGGGAAAATAAAAAAAACAACACCTGCTTGCTGTGAAAGGGTCCCTCATTCAGAAAATCACAAGAAAGGAGGCAATGACATGTGCTTAAACTTGCCTCAGAGGAAAGTTCCACTGAGCAGGTAACTAAGGTGTGAAATTTTAGCACAAGCAGCGAATGTGTTTTGCAAATCTTTGAATATGAGGGATTGTGGTTTAGAATGGGTATGCTCGTGCAGCCCTGGCTTGGGGTTTTACTCTAGCTGGGCAGCTAGACTGGGTAGTAGAGGGACTGTATAGGGAAGCATCACTAGCTCTCATGAAACCAGCTGTGCTGAGCCAAGGCTGTTGACTCTCTGAGAAGCCATTTGCCCCCTTCCCAGCTCACAGGGACAAGCCACATGGATTTGCGTCCTGCTGCTGGCGCGGTTGCTTTCCAGGGCTTCCTCACCACTGCATTTTATGCTATTCCTCTTGTAACCCATAGGACTTGAATAAATGGTGTGCAAGTCTGAGGCACTTGAAACTGGAGCATTTTTAGCTTAGTCTGTCCCGTTTGTCTCAACCTTTAGTTTAAAAGTGATTTAATTAAGGAGAAGGAAGGGAAAAACAACCTTCTGTGTCAATGAGGTTTAATCCTGTGCACACATGTTGGGCAGGTTCTCCTTCCCGCTCTCCCATGTCCCTGCTTTCTTCCCTTGGTATAAGACTTTAAAAGATATTTTGTCCCTCTTAGCAACATTTGTATCTTGTCTACACAAACCTCCAACACTACTGGAAATCCAATCATCTGATTAATACACTAACATGGCAGTAATTAGTTGCTATATCTACAAGGCTTTTAGAATGTGCATCTATTGATATCCATCCTGGGAACGGCCCTGTTGCCACAATAGAGCAGCCCTGGTATGGAGACAAAACCATAGGCCAACACGACCTAAAGAAACCAGGGGCTTGGCCTTGGTTCCTTCAAGGGAGGAACAAGGGCAGGTAGCCTCAGCCTTTTGCCACACAAAACATGGCTTGTTGGGGGTCTGGGCTTGTCTAGTTTTCATTAGCTGGGTTGTTTCTTTGTAAAAGTAAAGTTCATCTTTGAAACCTAACAGTCATAAAATGAGAAAATATATCGTAGGTAATGTAAAAATCTGTCATATGAAAATAACCTACCTTGAGTTGGTGTCTTGGAAAAGTCAGCTTGTGTAGCACCTCTTACTCTGCCTTTATTCTTGGAGGTAAAAGTCTGCTTTTGGCAGATGCCATTAGCTTTTGTATTTCACACACAGCATATTTACATCCAGAGCTAGACTGTCCATCTTGAAAAATCCACTGGAGTGTAAGCCCTTGTACTCAAGGCTTTGGGCTATGATTGCACACACCCCCACATGTTGGATATATTTGCTTGATGTATCTCATAGTCTAACAGCCATATTTTTTGCAGATAATGTTCCTGCCACCTAAATTTCAATTAAGTAGTTGTTAGCAGGTGACACAAAGTTGAGCAATAAGCTTTCTTGGCAAGTGACTTGTCTGAGTTCCCCAGCACATTTTTTCAAGTATCAGCTATGACTATAGTTTCAGAAATGACTTTTCCTACTGGGCATGGAGGAGGACAATTCCAGAGTGCTCTGCAAGCCTATTGAAGTGAATAACCAGTGAGCTTGCCCCATGCCTGGAAAGTGTCTCACAGCCTCAAGGTGAAGGCAATTTAAATAGCACAAGGAAGAGTTACAACGCGGAGGTGAAAGAAAACCCTTTGCACTTGTTTAACGGCCCGCTCCTCCTCAGCCCTCCCTGCATCCACACACCCACTCGCATCTAATGAATTACCACGAGGTGTCTGGGGCTGCACTGCTCCACACAAGGTGAGGGTTGTGTCATGTCAACAAGCCCGGAGGGCCCCTTTCCCTCTACCATCTCCTGTCCCCGGGAGCAGGTGGGTCACACTGTGCTGCCCAGCTGGGTCCCATCAGAACTGCTCAGCCACATCTCCCATCCACCCATCTGTGTGTATGTACGTTCTGCTGTGATCAGAAGCCAATGAAGGCCTTTGGAGAGTGTCAGTCGAATCTAACCATGTGAGGAAGGCTGGTGGCAAGGGGGGAGCAGAGATAGCCCTCCTTAATGATCTTAGGCTACTTCTACATCAGAAATCTTATTCCTCAGCTCTTTGCTCTTTTACCTCCTCTATGACATCCAAGTGTTTCTCTGCATCTTCACCGCAGGCCATGGCAGTCTTTCTAGAGCAAAAGCTCTGCACAGCCCTGCTCAATAGCAGCTGGAGATTGGTCTTGACACCTGGCTACACAGCAACTGGCTTCAACCATGGCCAAATAAAGTTCCTTCAACACTCTGACCCCACCTGAAAAGGAAGAACAAAGAGATTTATAATTAATATAATAGTAATCCCAGGATCTTCTCATCTTCACAGAATTTTAGAGAGTTTATCTAGGTGAGCTTCCCAGCTGAAGCTTGTCTGACCAGAAGACTTTCCTCAATGTGGACAAATGACTCATTATACAGTCCAGGCAAACCAGATATCCCAGAGGTGACTGCTGAGAGGAAATCATGCCTGATTGATTAAACTAACCCAAGTACTCCACTTGTCACAGCAATGCCTTAGGCAGAAAAATACTGAAAACTCTTCTCTGTGTAGAAATTCATAGTTAGGTTGAGCATATGTAAAGGGAATGTGAGTAGCTTGAAATTCCATGTTATTGACCCCCCAAAAAACTGACAGGGCTTGGTGCCAAAGCCTTGCTAGTTCTTTAAGCAGTCAACAGGTAATAATAATAAGCGACAGTCTAGCTCTTCAGATGCCCTCAAGGCAGATGATCTAATGAACTAGAGAGATGCAGTTCAGGGATAAATGTGTCTTCCTGAATAAAACAAGAAGAAAATGAGCAGCGTGAGAAATGTGTCCAGTACACCCATGGTGGAAAGCCAATCCCAGAGATATAGGGGAAACACCTGGCTAAAGAAGCTAAAGGAGTTGCTGAAGGAGTCTTGGGTCCCCAAGCCCCCATTGGAAAGTTTAGTTGCGACAAAGCTATGCATAGGATATATTTCAAAAATTATTCCTAGCTTGTGGTCTTTCAGAAACATTAGTCTCTGTCTGTATAGGATACATTTTTCTGGGGGGTTATCTGTAAATGAGGGGGAATTTCCTGAGGGGCTTTTTTAGCACCCTCAGCATTTTCATGTCTGTGTTGTTCCCCCCATGGCAGAGCTCCATCACAGAGGAAAAAGTTCAGAGGATGAAGGAGCAATTTATGGCCACCTATGATGTCACTGCAGATGGACGCCTGGAAATCCAAGAGGTATATCTTCCCTCCCCTTTCCCAGAATTTCTTTTGTGGAGGTGGCAGAATGAGGAGGGAGGCATGGGAGATAAAGCCTGGTGGAGGAGGAGGTCAGACATGGTGGACTACATTAGCCAGACGTGCTCTGCATTTTGTTCCCATGAAAACAACATGCCCAGGTTTCATCTCCTGTATCAGCCGTCCAAGCTTCACTTTTTTTTTTTCCTTATCTTTACTTTCCCTGAGTTGTCTTTTTTTTAGCTTGCAAATATGATCTTGCCGGATGATGAGAACTTTCTGCTGCTTTTCCGACGGGAAACTCCTTTGGACAACAGCGTGGAATTTATGCGGGTGAGTAGCACTGCACACCCATTGCTGCTTCAACATACACGCTTGAAGCACTTGCAGACTACTGAATGGAAAATATGTGGTTATTGTGGAAGAAAAATATTTCTTAAGTTGAGAGAGGGACTGTTTTACACTATTTTCACTAGCAAAGCAAAAAAAGTAGTAGCTAGAAGTAGATAAAGGACATGCATTAAGTTTGCTTTTGCTTAAGTTTGATAAATTTTGCTTTTGTTAGACAACCTCAGCCCTCTGTGAGCCCTGCTGCCAGAGATGAGAGATTACCGAAGCCCCTGCTGATTAATCCAGCCCAGTTGTGGGCTACAGCCAAAGCTGCAGGTTCTCACCCCAGCCGAGACCAAAAGGGCAATTGGGTTTTCTTAGCACTGGCCAATTCCTGACCACTCACTGCCCCCAAAATCTCCGTGCATTAATGTGGTGGGGGGAGATGCTGCCAGCCAGGGGGTTCCCTTTGCTCTGGAGACTCCCCGGGTGCCCCAATGCACTGCCTTTGCCAGAAGTTTCACCCATCTTGCTCCCTGTGCTGGTATTGCTGGTATATATATATTTTTTTTCCCTGCAAATTTATTAAATTTAAAACTTTGACTTTTCAAAGACTGCATCTCTTTTATTTCATGTTCAATGTGGGGGTGTGGGAAACTAATTGGCCAGTTGTGTACTGACTTGACTTTTACTCAGGAAAATTACCATGTTGTGTAAATGCATGTGCAAATTAGGTAAGAAATGTGGATCGGTTTCTCATTATTTTCTTGCTTTTAGAGAAAGAGTGACTGTGTTAAATATGTGTTTGCAGCGTGGCATATGTACAACATCCACAAGAGAGTAAAAGCTGTTGGGTGGAAAGTTTATTTTATTGTGTCTACGATTAATTAAGTACTGGCTAATGCAACAGTGGCTCATTATGAAAGTTCTGATTTGGAGCTTTATTATGGTCTATCAACATTTTGGATGGCTGCCTGCAATACTTATGTGGTCATATCAATGTATCCCCATTCAGATCTGGCGCAGTTACGATGCTGATAGCAGTGGATTTATTTCAGCTGGCGAGCTCAAAGTAAGTTGTCCAAACAGGTCTCTGTGGGGTTGAATTGCGGCTTTCAACCTGGCTTTACCTACATGCTGTCTTTTTGCGCGGTCGATAAATGGCATTTCTACGTTGCTCAGCAGAGGACACCACACCTATGGGACCTGCAGGCCCTTATCTGTATTTCTTCCCCTCAGTCCTGCTGATTTTCTGAGCCTTTCAAGCACTGGTTGCATTTGCAAGAGAGGGTCCATTGAGGCAGAGTCCTGCATGGGAAAGGTGGCTCAAATGCCTGGAGGCAGCTGGGCCACCCCGAGGCTGCAGACCCACACGCTCAAGTCCCACACAGGATATCATTTCAGCACAGGCCCTACCAGACATGTGAGCAGATGCTGAAGCATTTTGCTGGATGGAGGCTATCTTGACTTAAAATTGGTTAGCAAATACTGTGGGACTAGTTTTATCTTTTAATAACTTGACGGGAATTATTCTATTACTATGTTAAATCAGATGCATACAACTCTGCTGAGCTTGGATCTGATTTCTTGCTGGTTTTGACTGAATTTACTCTAAAGAATAAAAATCTGAATCTTTCTTCACTGTAGGATTTCCTACGAGATCTCTTCTTGCAGCATAACAGGATGGTTGCTGAGGTGAAGCTGGAAGAATATACAGATACAATGGTAAGAAAATCCAGCGTCTATGTTTGTCAGCCAATAGTACTACCTAAAAGTGTCTCTTCAGATCAATGCCTAGATGTTCAGTGCTGTAGATGCCCTCCTGAAAGGTGTTTCTGTTCCAACAGTGTTTTAGATCGCTTTGCTTTATGCTCAGCTGTTTATTAGGAGCACGCAGCCTGACTTTCTGCCAAAACAAACTGAGCTCCAAACCTGTTAAAAAAAAAACTTGGTGAAGAGAATCCTTCTTCAGAATACATGGAGCCTCAGCCAGCTGTCTCCCTCCTGGCAGACCCTTTGGCCCCACAACACGCAGATAACCCAGGCAGTGTTGTGGGCTTCCCGCTGCTTCCTCCAAAGGCTGGAAGGGCGAAAGCCTGAGGGCTTCAACTCTTCCCCTCCTTTATTGCAGGACAGCTGCGATTCTGGTACCAGCAACATAATGTTTGGTGTAAGCTTATCATCAGTCATTTGGATTCCTTACTCTACTTACTGTATCTATCCATCTAAAAACACACACAGAAAAAGCTCATTTCTGATGACATTATCAAGAGTATCGTTTGACTTCCACTCAGAGGCATCTACCATTGCAATTTTCAGCATGATTTTCACATGGGGTTTTCTAGATTCTGCACGCAAAGTCTATGTTTGTACCTACAAAACAGCTTTGTAGGCAAGCAAAAGAAGAAAAGCCCACATATTCTGCAGCATTATGTAGACAGGGTACATCTGTGACTAAAAATGGGAGCTTTTAGAGCAAAATGAAAAAGCGTACAGATGGAAAGTATACATCTTTTCATATTTCTAGGTCAGTGAAGGGAGAGGATAGTAAGCTACAGAAATTATTTTACAGCTGAAAGACCTTGAAAACAGTAAAAAGCCCAAAAGCTACAGTTAGAACAAAAATCTTTTCTGTAGTGTTCCAGGTAGCAAATGGCTTTTATACTGCTCCGCCAAGGTCTCTTTCCCCAGTGGCTAATCTCTTACCAAGTGTTGAGGAATAAGCAATTTGAAGCTTATAGACATGGGGCGGTTCATTTCATCCAACTTCTTCCATTTCTGATAGATATTTTATTACACACACAGTGGTTCTTGCCACCCCAAATATAGCTAGATAACTGTGCAGTCGAGAAGAAATGTGGTCTAGTGATTCAACCCAGGGCTGATAGCCAGGAGATCTGGTTTCTATTTCTATATTTCTCACAGATTGGTTTTGTGTCCTTGAAAAGGCAGTTTACCCTCTGTGGTACAGAGTAAGATTTGATCTGGGGAAAGAACTGCTTCATGTGTTGGGGGAAATCTATGTCCTGAAATGCAAGTCTGCTCTGTGAAGACAAAATTTTGCCAAATTTTGAAATGCAGCAGAACCAGGGATGGTAACCTGTTAGCAAATGGAAGCTTTGCAGGTGATTTTTTTTTCCCCCACTGTGATACTGTGCTATAAACTTAAGAGCGACCAGATTCCTAGAGATAAGGTAGGATGTGCAATTACAATGTCTCAGCTTTTCTTCAGCAGTTACCTACCTGTGTGATCTTACTCCGTGATATCTCATAGTAAATGGAAAATCTGACTACAGCACATCATGGCAAATTAAGAGCATTTGCATCTGAATAGCAGCAGATAGGCTCTAGTTTTGCTAAATGAATGCATGGAAACACATCCAAAGTTGTAGTGCAGGGCTATAGGAGGGAAGAAAGACTCAATCTTACGTTTGAAGTCAAGTATTAAAACCAACAGAGCAGGGACTGTCAGAAGCGCAGAGTCCTGATGTTACTCTTTGCCATCATCACCACTGGAGAGAAAGGGGTTACAGTGCCTGACTTACTTTGCTCCAGTGCAGCTTTTTATTTAGATTTAATTACAGATTTTTTTTCATAGACTTTCTCTTCTTTTACAATCTGTAGCACAAGTTCCTTACTTGCATTTCTTTCCCGTACACCCTTATTCCCCCCTTTTCTCTGTTTGGAGTGGTGAGGTCAGGACTGGGCTGTTTCCGCTGCTCACAGCTACAAGGTCTCTCCCAATTGCCCACTTCTCCTGCCCAGACTTCCAAGTGCCACTGTAATAATATTTGGGTGGAAATAAGCCCTGTGCCAAGGAGCTTCAATCCCATCTTTTTTCATAGGAATTTTACCCATCTCTGCTTTGTTTGCTCTGCAGCCAGCTGCAGACATCCTCAGCAGCTGCTGATATACTGAGTGGATCCTTGAGCTTTCTGGAGATGTGGATAAAGGAGAAAAGATAGCAAGTGTCATTTTAAAGGCTTTTTAAAAAATAAAAAGCATCTTCTGATTCTGTGGTGGGTGTTTGCAGATTAAGCTGGTGAGAGGACTGAGTGGATATTATTCCGATCAAGGAGTGCAAACTACTTGCAAATGGCTTCTGCTTTTATGAATGCTCATACAAAACAGGAAAAGAAATCGGAAGGGGGAAGAACGTATTTCTTTTGCAAGAGTTGCTTTTGTTTGTTTTTCTTTGAGGAGCCAGAAATGCCCTCAGTGCCTCTGCAAAAGAAGACAGGCGCTCTCCTCTCTTTGATCTAGGTCCAACACAGCACAGCGAGTGACGGGCCCGAGGAGATATGAGGGAAGAGAGACAGAATAAAGAAGCCAGGAGCAATGATAATGCACACATCAAGTTGCCGGCTATCAGCTCAGTCATGTCAGGGATGGCTCTCCTCTGCCTTAGCTGGATTTGGGATCCTGCTACAAGTCATTTTTCCATATTTACAATTTGGGCTCTTTAGACTTTCCAAAAACATGTGCAAATGCATATCTGCACAGGGCTCTGTGTGTGTTGTGTGTGTATACACACACACACGCACATATATACACATACGCTTTCTCTCACGCATATTTGTATTTTTAATAAGCATAAATATATTTATACATACTAATATATATCTATGCATACTTATCTATATGAAATATACCCCTTGCTTCTCCTTCTTTAGCCATTTCAAGTATCATGGATGTGAAAACAGAGTCTCTGGGGTAGCACTTTGCTTTATCATTACTTGAAGCCCTTTTCCATTTTTTTTGTTTATACTGGTTGTAATTGCAAAGGAGCGATACTGTCAGGCTGCTTAGAAGCCATTTGTCAGCAGAATACTATGACTTTTGGTGATCTTGACACCCTTTCTTCAAAGAACACAGATTTACACCAGGGACTTGAGGAACAGAAATTGAATCCCTGGGGAGAAAATATGTAGTGAATTTATTAGTGTTGTGCCTCATGCGTTTATAAGTCAAGACTTTAGGAGCACTACAGCTGCTGGGCATAGTCATGAAAGAACATTTGAATGCTGAAGACTTTTCATAAGGAAATCCATGTAGCAAAATTATACAGAGAAAGACCCTTTTAGAGGCAGAATTCTTGCTAGTTTCGTGTCCATGCATATAAATGTTTACATTAATAGTCATTAAGTGAATATTAATATTTATTTACGCAAACACAATTGCAGGAGAAGATATTTAGTCACATGTAGTTCTGAAAGCTTGGAAATGATCTGTGGGTTTGTCTGTTCCCCATGGCCATAGACCTAGAGCCATTGCTTAGGGTCTGACCCTAAGTACTGTCTTGCTCTGAGCTGCAAACTCGCACCATTACTGCTTTGTCATGAGGAGGAGGATGACAGCAGTATTAACAACCTCTCTCATCCTCCATCCAGCTCCCAATTAAAACTGTTATTGGACTTCTGGCTCCTGGTGAAGTTTCAGTCCACAAACACTGAATTCATGAGTTTGCCCAATTTTTCATGAGCAGCAGCTTCTACATATGTGCACATTTACAGCCATGTACTTAAGAAGTATATTGTAAAAGCCTGAATACAAACCAGATTTAATTTCTCTGAACCAGATGAAATTTCCCAAAACATCTCACTTGGCTTTTTGCACCTTGGCATATATTTGCACCTTGTTCATAGAAACACCAGTAACTTATAGTTTTTCAGCTAGCAGAATGCACACTGGGTTGAAGACCCAATGTCTGCAAAGCCAGGCTCAGGGAAGCTCATGACTGAGTTGAACTTGAGCAGATTAAGTTATATACACTGCTGAGTAATCACACGTAGAAAATTGACATTCACTTTTTATTTCGCTTTATGTTAATAATATCAGGATGAACATAAAAACGACCTGTAACTTGAATGTCATTACACTTTAGCAAAGCGTAGAAAAAAAAAAGCAAAACAGAATTTGATCTATGCCTTACATACATAGACCAAATTCTAGGAAAGCAGTAATGTAAGTAAGTTTAGTGACTAATAATTCAGTGAACATTAATCACAAACCATACGATTTGAAAATTAGTACATGGCGATTGGGAATGAAGTCTTAGCTCCAGAGAGGTCAACAATAGAAATCCTACTGACCATAATGTTGTCATGGTGTTACCATGTGCATCCGCACGCAGATGTTCCCTTGAGAACTGGAGCCCCAAGGATTATGCTGGATATATCCTCAAGGACATATTGAGCCTTGGCTGTGCTCACATGGGAGCCTCCAGCTAAGTGAGGACTCCTACTCTCCTGTGCCACGGAAAACAGATCCCTTCGATGTCTGGAAGTTTGTCTCTGTCCATGAACATGATTTGTGGACTACCTTTGTTTTGCATTGGATGAAATATTGGTGCTCTCACAATGGCAGAATGGCACCTCTGCAAATGCAATGTTATCAGCTTTGGGTGGCCACTTCTTTGGCTGTGAAAACGTAACTGCATGTGCTTTTCGACAAGGCCTGTATAAACATGTATGGAAAGAGACTTAGAGCACAGAAAATCCAGGTAAATCCTCTTCTGCCATCCTCTGTGTCTTTGAAACAGTTGGAGTCTCCTTCTCTGGAGATCTGCCAAACCCGCCTGGGTGCCACCCTATGCCCTGTTCTCTAGGTGTCCCTGCTGGAGCAGAGGGGTTGGACAAGATGATCTCTAGAGGTCCCTTCCATTCTTAACCCTTCTGTGAGTCTAATATCTCTTTATGTTTAGCTCACTAACATCTTATAGCTCAAGCTTGCTTAGCTGACCCAGTGAAGTCTTTTATGACCACCAAAGCAATCCGCCTGGGTGCCACCCTATGCCCTGTTCTCTAGGTGTCCCTGCTGGAGCAGAGGGGTTGGACAAGATGATCTCTAGAGGTCCCTTCCATTCTTAACCCTTCTGTGAGTCTAATATCTCTTTATGTTTAGCTCACTAACATCTTATAGCTCAAGCTTGCTTAGCTGACCCAGTGAAGTCTTTTATGACCACCAAAGCAATGGTGCAATGGAAAGGCAAATCTTTATTTGCCTAGACTAGATTCTAAACCAAGGTTATGATCAGAATTCCAGAAGTCCAAGAAATATCATAGAAGTGGGGTACAGCATGAAGGACCGTGCCTGTGGGACAACACATTTTCCTTTCCTGCT